CACGGTAATTCACTTTTATCTATTTTCACTTTTCGTTAAAGATATGGAATAACTTTCGAAAACACTGAGGGCCGTCGTGTGACCGCTACCTTGACGCGTGACATAACAGCTACCTTGACCAACGACTCGTGCGAACACTCCACCAATAGCATTACTTGGCGTATTCTCTTGTAAAACGGGAAGAATATAATTAGCTTTCATTTAATCAACTAAATGCTGAAGGAGTCGGAGAATTTACTCTAAAGAAAGATGGTAAAACTCACGAGAGGTAGTAGACTACAAAAAGAATACATGACCTGCAATGACATTTACGATGCAGTACAATAATCGTGAACGTTTAGTTATTACAGTGTCTCCTTCTTGTATAAGCACATTTTTTGTTAAATGGGGTATTTACAAAACAGGATTATATTGCTTAATTTAGAAGAAACACCGGAAATTACAATTTTTTGGTTAACATTGATGTGTTATTGTGAAATAATTTACTTATACTACTATGATAAACATATACTATTAAAAATGAAATTTAATTAGTCTAATTTCGTTAATTTAAATGTATTTTATTTTTCTCATATTTTCTTTAGATATTATTGATATTGATTGTGATGATTGGTGTAAAATAACTCCTGCGCAAACTACACATTCCGTATTAGAGGCTTTTCTAGTGCAAAAGTAGATAAAAAACAGAACGCAACAAGAAAATCATATTATTTATATCTGTTATGTAATGTTATATATAATATTGGAACTTTAATCTTATTTCTTCATCTATTCACTTGTATCCCAGTATTGAAATAAACATAAATCAATACGATTGTAGTGGATATGAATTTGAAATTGTTGAAAGTTTTCAAGTTTTGATGATAATGTGACTTATTTTTATATTATTGGATGAAGGAATGAATTTCATTTTTTATTTATAATATATTTGTATTTAAAAATCCAATTTTCTCTACTCCAGGGAAAAAATAAAAGAGTTTTTATCAAGGAATTGTGAGAAATACAACCTTGGCTTTCAGAGGTGGAAACGAACCCCTACCTTGCTCGTTGAGGTCTGCTCAGCGAATACTAAATATATCAATGATTGTGGAACCTCGTAGAATTCTCATAATTAAAGTCGAAATTATGCAATACTGCTTATATTATGAAAAAAATTACATGGCTCATTTACATTGTTTTAAAACAGATATTTCTAACTTCACTCTTTGACATGAAGGACAGGTTCGACAGTTTGGACATTATAACGATAATAGGGAAGACTGTTGTACCTTTGAACACTTTATTTTTTTTTGTCAGTACAAATCACTTTTGTTTTATTTTGTCGTGGTTTCAAATGCAATTGCATTCAAAAGCATATTCAATCCTGAAAATTTTCCATTTATGAGTGCTTATAACACATTTTCAATTTTTGAAAGATAACAGAACATTTTGTATAGATCAGAGGTATCTGTTTATATATTTATCTATTTATTTAGTTAGTTATTTCAAGTCAAAAAAGTTAACTACTGTGACATATTAAGAGACGACGTGTATTCTCTGTACGTTTTCTTAAGGTCCAGAACCTCTACAATAACCCACATACAAATTGAATGCAGGTGAATCCTCACTGGCGAAAATAAATTTGTTCCGGCACTACGTTTGAAACATTTCGCTTGATATATAAATATACATTATCAATACATAAAATTTCACCATGTAATTGGCGTATAAAACTGAATCAAAACAAATTCGCCAATTTCAAGATGATTACATTCAAGATTCATCACAATTTACTGGACATTCGTCAAAATATCAATTCATTTCATCGTCTTCATCACCATTCTATTGAAGGATCATTATTTCGTAAACATTTTCAGAATGAATCTGAAGAACTGTCATTGAAACATCGTCTATTTACAGTTGCCCGGAAGCTACCCTTGCAAATAAACACTCCAGATTATATGTTGAACTGCACGAAGAATTGCAGAACCAATTATTCCGAAAGCAATTGTCTTGAAGAAAATTGAATTTAAATGTTACTGAGCTTAACTTGAATGCGTTACACCACCACACATTCCGCAAGACCGGATGGGAGCTACGCGTGTCCCTGCTGTGGCGGTCTCCCGCTGGTGGGATATAGCTGGTTGAGGAAAACCTCGCTAACCGACGGTAGGTCGGCGCTGGATCCCTCTATTCAGCGGGGGGAGATCACCACCTCCCGAGGGAAACACAAGTACTACACTTACGGGAATAATGGCCTTAGCAGCCGTGGCCGGAACTTTAAATTTGACGTGACCGGAATCATCAATAAATCAATTAATCAATCAAAATATTGAGTTTATTGATTATTTCTGGGCGCGCAGTTCGAACTGATGCATTCGCCAGTTCCATTTTGTAGACCCGCAGGCCGCCAAGTGCATTGAGGAATATTTGCAGTACTCATCAGGGTGCTCAATCAACCAATGGGTGCTCAGTTACCTTCACGCTGTCCGGGTTTAACCGTGAGAAAATGACATCACCATATTCCCCATGTCAAAACAAAATAGTGTATTCTTATTGTTTTGGCGCAAAATTTGTTAAAACTCTGAAAAACGGTTTCATGCACTGGTGTACAGATTACTTCCATTAGACTGCTGCACTCGCTTGCAAGCAACCGCTTTCTACCGTGTCACTGCCTGTCGTGGCCGGCCGTACTATCCCCCTGTGCAGGAGCTTGTTGCTCGGTCCGTCGGGGCTCGTAGCGGGGTACAGACACGCATTTGTAACTGCTGCCTCACGCAGTATTCAATTAAAAAACAGAAGTCGTTTATTAAACGAATCTGCTACTTCCAATGTAACAGAAACAGCCAGACAATGTTTCCCAAATTGCCGCCAGTTTTATCCTGAAATGGTTTCCAAAATTGCCCAAGGCTTCGGGAGAGTGTCTTGCGTTCACCTCTTATAGAACTGGGAAACGAAGTCCATAACACACATTCAACTGCGGGGAACTCAAGGTCTTTTGTCGCGGCTTTGATATTTCATAGAGCACGCAGTGTGTTTTGCGAATACAACTCCTATCGAAATGCATTTGCTTGGGAACGAAGAAAGCGTGTCTAATCAGCCGACATGATTATCCCTAGCAAGAAGAATTTGCTAGGTCGTTTTAAGGAAGCTCATTAAATACCCACTGTTCCTTCCAATATTTTTGTTTGGTTACGTGATAATCTTCATGAGGGGTCAATTACCACATCTGAGTGGAAAAAATCTATATGCTATTCGTGTACAATCTTTTTTCGGGTCTACTGCAGGCTAACGGTAGCCTGAATCTACTCAAAACGAAAAAAGCTGAAGCATCAGTTCGAACGGCGCACCCAGAAATCTTATATAAGAAAAACAATTTTGTTTATTGGTTGATTGGTTCATAATTTATGCGCTGCCGTACCGTTTATTCGATTGTGTAACGTATTAGCCAGCGTGCCTCATGGCATCTATTTGGGGACGCTTGGTTGCGGATTAGTCTCGCCACAGGAAGTAGGGTTTTTCCGTAAAGGGAAGAACGCGGAGACGGGAGACACAAGGCTTTGGGTGTCTTCCGGCTTATAGAAGCTTTTCACTGTTATAACAAGCGAGGGGGTGGCGTGACGTAGGAGGTCACGTGGGCCTCGCCTATATAACAGAGTGTACGGAGCCAGTAGGCAGGTTCTGGAGACGGTGGGAGAACCTCGTGCGTGTGCACAAAACTTGGCGCCAAGACGGTGCATATGCGAGCCAGGCTCGCGAGGCTGGAGTCATTAGTTGACGAAGCCTGCGGACTTTATGTCCTTGGGTGACTGCGGTCACGGGGGAGCGATGCTGTGTGCGTGCTCCGAGGTGAAGAGTGGTTGAGTGCCACGATTCACGCCGATTCTCAATCGGATAAGATCGCTCCTGCGATCGAGGCAAACCAGCCGTTGATGCGCCAGAACGGACTTTGTGTCCCAGCGTGACATCCGGTCACGGAAGCTAGGCTTTGTGCGCGCTTCAAAAGTAGGAGTGGCGAATGCCACAATCAAAACCACCTTCAATCGGGTTTTGGATCGCTCCCGCGATCAGGGGATAGTAGGTCTATCAGAGCTAGGGTTTAAGTAGATTATTAAGTGTATATATTTGTTTTGTTTTCTTGTTAATAAATATATTGTTATACGAAAGCTCTGTGTCTGTGGTCGCTGTGAGTATCCATGACGTCACAATTGCGATAAAACGTTGTAAATTAATTGCTTGCACTTTCGGGAAGAATATAAGCGTAGTACAATGGAGATGTGCATATGCCTGCACACATAGACGCGCGTTGATGATATTATGTAGACTCAAGGGCCCTCCGTGATCAGGGTGACTAATCCAACGGTGCTCTCTACGCAACCCGATGCTCACTGAAGTACGATTATTAAGACGTCTTCATTGCATATTCTGTTTCTGCGATTGTGAAATTTTTCCCGAGAGAGACAGATATTGGGAGAGACAGAGGAAGACAAAGACGCAGAGAGAGAGAGAGAGAGAGAGAAACAAACAGATACAGATAGAGAAAGAGAGAGACAGATAGAGTCACAGAGAGACAGAGACAGAGGGGGACGGCGAGATAGACGGAGACAGACTAACACTCATGAGAAAGTCTTTCGTGCATTGAAATTCTTGCAGAGCGTAGCGAAAAAGTTATTAACAATTACGTAAGTAGCATGTGAAGTGTACTAAATTGCAATAGCGAAGCATTGCCGGGTCCACTAGTAATAAATAAATTCAATATTTTAATGTACGAACATTTTAGCTTCTGAAAACAATTAGCATTGTAATGATATTAAGAATAGAATCTGCAGGGGACTATAATTTATTGCATGTAACTATCTAAAGCAAGATATTAGTTCTCACTTAAGATATGCTAAAAATAATTCGAACATTCCAGGATTTTTGTTAATTTCCATAAGCCTTGGTTCGTGTTTAGCTTTCAATATTACGTCGCTGAATGCCGTGATTATAATTAACTACAAAATTGCATTTTAAGTAAATTTAATAAATTAAATGATAAATACTCATCATATGTACAACAGTGCCTTCACTTTTAGGGGAGGTGAGATGCAAAAGATGTGACAAATTGACCGGCGTGGGGGTGGGAGACTGAATTGGAAGTGAACGTTCCCATTAATAATGTTCTTTGTTTAGAAATATAGATAGATATTCCCATGCTGATATTCTACAGTATAATGTATATTGATATTCATCGACTGAGTTGTATTAATATTGCCAACTTACATGACGAAATAACCAGACAGCAACAGCAAGATATGCCATACCAGAACGTGCTGTTTTAGCACCTCTAGTTTTCTCTTTTCCTATCTTAGTTGTTTTAATGTAAGGTATGTAAAGGTAATATGGCCACGTTAAGCGCCTAAACATTTTCTGTTAATATATTTCAACATTTGATCAAATAATTGCATCATGATGAAATTTAACGGTTTTGCTTCAAGTTGAAATAGCTATATCACAAAAAAATATTAAGGAATATTTTGTTGTTATTTAACACAAACATTGTAATTTGAAGGTACGTAATATGCCTACATGCAGATTTTATTGCCATTACTAAATTAACTTGTTTCTTTTAGCATATATGAAACTAGGGCTAGCTATACTAATATATATTATAAATTACACTCTTACAGTCTAATCTTACAAAAAAACGGTAAAAATATATCCTGTTTTAAAACAATTGCGCGAGAGTTTATAAGAAGTTATAAGGACAGAGCGCCTTCAGCGCGTTCTTGACAGTAAAAATCTCCTGAGTGCGAATGCGCGTATCACCAAGTCTGATGGGGTGTTAATGCACTTATTACACTCTCCCAGACTGCATGCTAGCATAATCAATCGAAAATTGAGGAAATTGTTTCAGCTAATAGCCGCTACTTGGCCATATTACCTGCACTGCCCATATTTGCTTCACTTACATTATAATGTTCCTTTTTTATATATATTACATTACTTTTAAAATTGATCGCGCATAATTTAATTAGGCGCAACGGCTAAGGTCATTAGTCCCGTAAGTGTAGTGTATGTTTGAGGGTGGGAAGTGGCGGTAATATTCCCTTACAGGATGGTGAGATCCGTAGCCAACCTACCTTTCGCTTACGGGGGTTAACCCCAACCAGGTATCTCCCCACAAGCTCTAAGCTTCCGACCGGTCTCCCCGCGTGTGTGGAAGTTTAGTGCATTTAAGTGTAAGTGTGTATGTAAAGGGTGCTGATAGGACAAGGAAGGGGAAGGAACGATCGCGTGCGGTGCATGGCCCGTTTGGTAGGGTACTTCCTGCGGTAATGGTTTTGATCGGAGAAACCACGGAAAACTACTGATCAGAGCAGCCGGCCGCTAGAATTCTCCTCGAGACAGCGACTGAAGTCCACCCAGCTGTGTAGTAGGTGTCGAAAATCCTCCCATCGTCAGGATCCGAACGTAGGACCTCCCAATCAGAGGCACTGCAGTGACATCAGTTGATGCCCTGAACCACCACTCTCGGTTACGTTTTCAAAAAAATTGTATGTGAAACCCTAAATAGGCGTAATCTATCTATCTATCTATCTATCTATCTATCTATCTATCTATCTATCTATCTATCTACATTTATCCAATTTATTCAAACATTGCACATATTTATTGCACCTGAGTCGTAACGAGCATACCCATTAAGTTCTCTTCCATCCGAGGGCATGTTAAGAAGAAATGCAATTTCGTATTGATATTTATGCACCAACGGCGTTATAATGGTTCTAATAATCGAGTTGTGACAAAAAAGACCAGTGGCCTTTGGCCTGAGAGCTTTTGTTGCCCGAGATCGTTAGAACCTGTGGTGTATACATGATTTTATTTTTTACCTAATTTTATTGATTCGGATTTACTTTCTTACTAATTAACAAGATGTTAACGCCGATCCGGTGGCCGAGATCGCTAAGGCAGTAGTGCCGTAGCGAATTCGGACCGACGGATCGCGGGTTCGAGTCCCGCCTCGGGCATGGTTGTATTGTGTTTCGTCCTTTGACCCCCTATCATCATCACTATCGTGTCAATCCATAGGTACCATACCGTTACAAGCAATAGTGGTCGCTAATGACCTAGTAGTTGGTGCGACCGTAAATAACAAAAAAAATGTTAACTTCCCATAACCCATAATTCCCTTCATAAGAGAACAAGTGGCATCATTCAAATGATTTAATTTTTCTCAATAAACCACGATTCTCTTGATCCAGATAAGTTATGCAGTGTCTAAATGTCGAGCTCCAAACCGAAGGATAAAACAAGCAATAACGTATCAGTAAAAAATAAAAAGAGTATGTTTCTCGTAAACTAATTATAGCGACTATGACGGGGTAATCCGAACTGAAATGCCTCCTAAAATATATTTTTGGAATCCGGCCCTGTCTTTTCGTCACAAATGTGTTATCTCGTGAAATTTGCAGATTTTCTTTAACCTTGTGGCCTGGGGCAATCTAAATAACAAATGTACAGAAATCCAAGGCATAATGTGGATGTTGTGTTAGTACTGAAGAGAGCTATGACGAATGTTTATGATAATAGCAATGAAACTGTGAATACGCACACGTTTTGTGCAAGTGCTCAGAAGAATGGCTATTTGTGGATTGGCATGCTGGTTCTGAAAATGAGGTACTTCATGTTGATACGTTTTCCGAATATTTGTTCACGATTTTGGTTACAGTCAAACAATTATGTTTGCTATTGTCGCAACTTCTTAAGTCTTTTAGTTCTCAAAAACCAACAAGATGATTATAAAGAGATATTTCTAAAACTTTTATGGTAGTAGGGAATACACATTTTGGTGAAGAAAGCATTGATGAAAATATTTGAGAGCGAGTTTAAAAAAGTTGATAGTAACTTTTAGGGTAAGCTAAAGCAGATGAGGGTATAACCATAAAAAATTTCGTGCAACTATTCTCGAATTTACAATATTTCTTTATCTTCGTGTTACCTGAATATCGTACTAATTCACACTCTATATACCATGTGACATATTTAGATCAAAGTATACAATTTTTTTTATTTGTTGTTCTTTTTAGGTCGCTTTTCAACTGCTTCATTATATAGTGATTACTGTAACTTTTAACTGAGGGGGGGGGGTAACGGTGAGGGAACGCATACTAGCAACACACACACACACACACATCCATTCGCATGACTGGATTCGAATACACGACCTATCAAACCAAGGCTGGTATGGCTGTTCAGCCTTAAGTAATGCTAGACCTCGCCTATCGTGGCCAGCTATGAGAAGAATTAAAAAAGAAGATTAACGTAAAACAGAAGTTATTTAAAAAAATTAAAATGAGTCATTATAACCATGTGTAATTAATAGTTAAATATTTCAAAATAATTATAACATATTCTAAATTCA